ACCTTCGTGCGGCGGAACCTTCGTGCGGCGGAACCTTCGTGCGGCGGTGCGGGGGGCGGGGAGCGGCGGCGCGGCCATGGCGGCGGGGCCGCGGCGGGGCCCGCGGGGCTCGGCCGTGCTGGAGCTGCCCCGGGCCCCGCGCCTCGTCTGTGTGGAGTACCCGGGGCTGGTGCGGGACGTCGGGGCCATGCTGAGCACGCTGGGAGGAGAGCAGGGCGTGTCGCGGGTGAGCGGGGCTGTGGGACGGCTGGGGGCTCGCTGGGCAGGGGTGTGCGGGCAGCCCGGGCCTGGCCCTGGGGAGGTGGGTGAGGCCGGAGGGGTCGGGGACAGGGAGAGCCCCGCGGTGGGACCCTCGGTGCGATCCCTTCAAACCCAGCAGGCTCCAGGCGTGCTGCCCCCGTGCAGGGCTTTGAGGGGTGTCGGGCGGGATTGTTAAACCCTAGAATGGTTTGGGTTGGAAGGACCTTAAGGCCCATCTCGTTCCACCCCACTGCCGTGGGCAGGGACACCTTCCACTAGCCCAGGTTGCTCCAAGCCCCGTCCAGCCTGGCCTTGGACACTTCCAGGGATGGGGCCCAGCTTCTCTGAGCAACCTGTGCCAGGGCCTCACCACCCTCACAGGAAAGCATTTCCTCCTAATATTCAGGATATTATCTTTCTCATTTATTTATTTCTTCCTAATACCCAGGATGGGAGCAGCTGCACATCCCACATGTTGGCAGGGCAGGGGTGGCAGTGTGTGGGGCTGGGGCTGGCACAGGCAGAGGGGCTGTGTGGGTGGGATGCTCACAGGGCTGTGCCTGCCCTTGCTGACAGATCTACGCCGACCCTGCCAAGAGACTGGAGCTGTATTTTCGCCCCAAGGACCCCTATTGCCACCCTGTGTGTGCCAACCGCTTCCCCACCTCCACCATGCTGCTCAGGGTCAGGAGGAGGAGCAGGAGGAAGAAGCAGCTGGACACTGAGGAACAAATCCAGCCAGAAGTCCAGTTTGAGATGGAGATCCTTGGGATTGTCACCACTGTTTACAAATTTCAAGGTAAAATGCTTGGGTTTGTGTCCATGTGGCTTAGAGATGAGGACATTTGATGGGAAAGGGAAGTGTTTCCCTTTAAACAACTCAGAACTGGAAGGTAAATCAAGTGTCCTTACTGTAGAAACCTTTACATAAACTTAGCAGACTCTTGCTCCTGAAACTTTAGTTTAAGAAATATTGTTAAATATTCTCATATAAATAATATTTATGTATTTATAATATAATATTATACTATACATACATTATATATATCATAAATATATTATGTTTACAATAATATATTATAATATATTATTATATATTCTATTGTAATATTATATTACATATTATTGTAGTATATTGTCTAGATAGTATATTTATATATAGTATATTTATATATCATTATATCTAATATATTATTCCATATAATATATCATTATATTATATATAATTTATTAAGATGTAGTATAATAATATAAATATTAATATAATTAATGAACTTCACACTGTTTTAACTTCTGTTTCTCCCAGGAATGTCTGATTTCCAGTACCTGGCCATGCACTCTGGTCCTGATGGCAAACAAACCTCCATGTATGACAAAGTCCTGATGCTCAAACCAGAGAAGGAAGAGTTCTTCAACAGGGAATTACCTCTTTACATCCCACCACCAATTTTCTCACGTCTGGACACTCCCATTGACTATTATTATCGTCCAGATATTCAGCACAGGTCAGTGCAGCTTGGAAGGTTTTTTTATATTTAAATGTTCTTTCCTCAGTGCTGTCATGACAGTCTTTCGTGGTACCAGTATGTGATAAGGGAGGTTGGGCCAAAGTTAAACCAGCCCATGGCTCATGTGGCTGAGTCCCTCCTTGCCTTTCCCTGTTCCTTAGGGAGGGATACAACAACCCCCAGGTGTCTGCTGAGAACCTGATTGGCCTCAGCAGGGCCCGTCGCCCACACAATGCCATCTTTGTGAACTTTGATGATGAGGAAATCCCAGCTAAACCACTGGATGCTGCTGTACAGACCTGGAAGAAAGTGTGCACCAATCCTGTGGATAAAAAGGTGGAGGAGGAGCTGAGAAAGGTGGGTGCCTGACCTGAGCACTCTGCTGCAGCAAGCTCTGGAGGAAAAACTGCATTTTCTCTGAATTCTCCAGAAATTCTTGGTGATTTTTACTGACTGATACAGCAGGTTTCAGTAGATGCTGCTGACACTGCTGTGTTCAGTTCAGTTCTGCAAATCAAGATTTGAATCTGTAGCCAACTCGATTAAGTTCCTTTTTGTGCCACAAGTTCTTACATTGCTGTTCCAACAGCTCATATTGAGGGGCTAAAGGCCCTGATGCTGCACTAAATCCACTTGGAAAGCTGATCTGCCATTGGTGACCCACTTCCCACTGTTCTGTGGTTGTTTCTGTGTCATTGTAGCTCTTTGAAGTCCGTCCTGTCTGGTCTCGGAATGCAGTCAAAGCCAACATCAGTGTCCACCCGGACAAGCTGAAGCTGCTGCTGCCATATCTGGCCTATTACATGGTGAGTGGTACACCTGTGAGCAAGGGAGCAGCAGCTGGGTGTTCCTGGTCCTTCACCACCTCTGAAGTCCTACCACTAAGTACCTGAGCTTAATATTATGTAAAGAGACAGAGGGAAGGAAAGCCTTGCCTTGGAACAGAAGTTAAAGCCAAGGAGGACTCAGTACCTCTTTGCTCCACTGGTTCTAATCAGTTTTGCAGGTCAGTTGTGATTGTCCACCTGGAAATAGTAGCAGAATTTTTTCCACAGAAACACCTGATTGTGACCTTGCAGGTTAGTTTTTAAAAGCACACAAATATTTGTGGTTTGATGCACTGATTGCCCATGTTCCAGTGGGCATAAATAAATACTGGCATGGCGAGTTGAGGAAAGAGCTGGGAAAAGAAATAATCTTTGGGCAGTAAGGGGAATATTAGAACTTTTCAAGAACCTTTGCACCCTGTACTGAACAAAGTGCAACACTGTGCTGCTTTTCTGTAACCATCTTCCCTCATGTGTGTTTATGCAGTTGACAGGTCCCTGGAGAAGCTTATGGGTTAGGTTTGGGTATGACCCCAGAAAACACCCTGAAGCAAAGATTTATCAAGTACTGGACTTCCGAATTCGCTGTGGAATGAAATATGGTAAAAGGGCCCAACCCACAGAGCTGCTCTTTCTGCTTTCTGGTTAATCCTGGTAGTACTTTTCTTTTTATGTGTTTTTCAAACTCTTTTGCTGTATTTCTGCTCTGATGAAGATGTCACCTTTTGAGCTCCTTGCTTACTGTAGTTATCTCTAAACTCCTTTAATACTTTATTTCATAGTATGCAATATGTCTTTCCTCATTTGGCACATTCCAGACTCTGACTCCCTTCCTTCATGTGTCCCAAGCCCAAGTGGATGTAGCAGACCATCCTCCCCCTTGCTCAGGGAGGAACTGAGCAGGAATTCTGGTGCTTCTATAGTAGCTTTTCCTTAAGGACCTCAGCATCCCATGCAGGATTTTGGGTCTTGGACCTTGGACAGGGGGTACCCCTGCTCTGATTTTGCAGAGGGCAAGTTGAGGAAAAGGAGTTTCTGACATCTAATAAGTCCATGACAGAGCTGGCATCCACTTATTGACATCAGGTCACATTTTCTTTCCAAGTTAAAGGGTTTTATTGATCTCTTCTCCCAACCTTGCTAAAGTCAGCATATCCCAAAGACCAGCCTGCCTTTCCCACACCAGTCCAGCCCTTGTGTTACTGAGCCAAGGATATTCTGCAGGGTGCTTGCCCTCAGTTCATTACTGGTTTCCCTTTTTCACCTCTAGGTTATGCCCCTAATGACATGCCTGTGAAAGCAAAACGCAGCACCTACAACTACAGCCTGCCCATCACTGTCAAGAAACAAGGTATGCTGGGCCAGCAGAAGGGCTGCCTGGTCTTCTGGGTCTGTGTGTACCCCACCCTGGTCACAGGTGGTGAAAGGTCTTCCTCTGTTCTGGCTGAGTCAAAGCTGGAGCTTTTTTTCTGGTTATAGTACAGTGCTGCCTTTAAGCCAGAAGAAGAATCTCCTGCTGGGAAGTGGTGTGGGAGTCTTGGAATCATGTCTGGCTGAGCCACAGTGTCTGTTAGCAGGCAGGAGGGAGTTCTGTGCTCAGAATTAGCAATGATGGTGCAGAGAAGGGGGAAGTTCTCTTTTCTTTGTCAAGGAAGAGTAGAAAAGGTTAAAATTATGAACAAGTACACGCTGTGGAAAAACAAACTCAGCACCTTCCCTCTGACTGCCCAGTGACATCTCTGAAGGATGAACAAAACTCATGCAACCATAGTTGCTGGGTTGGTCTGGTTTTGTTGAATCAACAGAGAGAAGTGACAATACAAGGTTGCCTCTAATAGGACTGTCTTTGTTTTTGTTTTCAGTCAGTCACACAGTCAGTGTCCACGACCTCAAACAGGGGCTGGGTACAGCTGGTGCATCTGGGGCAAAAAAGCCCCCCTCCAGCAGGTATAAACTGAAGGTAAGCATGACTCTTATTTAGTCTTGAAGTAGCTCAGTGAAATAGGAGTGTTTCCTGGTTTATCAGTCATCAGGGGGACAGCTGTGAGCGAGCTGATGTCCTCAGGTTTGCCTGGGAAGCTGCTATTTGTACCTGGCACTCCAGGACTTCACCTGCTGTGCACTGAGTGTATTTCTTACATGCTGCAAGGTGGGATTGGTGCTCTCAGCCCTAGTGTGAGGTGTGATGAGCGTTTGGCTTCATTTGATAAAATTGGAACTTCACGGGTGGTGAAATGCAAAAAATCACCGTGTCTTTTATCAGGTCATGCTGCAAAATCCAGCAGGGTGGAATAAATAAATGAGTCTTTCTCTTCCATTTTTGCTAAAATGAAAGCCACAATGCAGTGTTATGCAGTGACAGGCTGCAGGCAGAGCTGCAGGTTGAAGAGGTGAATGAAGTGTGTTCTCTGCACAGCAGTGCTGTTGTTTCTGTGGCTGCAGGGAAATTTTGGGGTATTCCTCATCCAGCTTTATCTTTTGCCACGTGCAAAACTGATATGTGTTGGAAGTGCTTTGTTCTTGAATCAGCCCATCAGAAGTACCTTTCAGTTACCCCAGAGCTGTCCTGTTACACCATAAAATGCACATGAATCCTTTCCTTCTTTCCTTCTTTTAGGAATCCATCTATATTTTCCGAGAAGGAGCTTTACCCCCATGTCGACAGATGTTCTACCAGCTCTGTGACTTGAATGTGGAGAGGTATTGCACACTGGCAGCTGAGTGTTGTGTTAGAGACAGATTTCAAAGCCTATTGCTTGTACCCTGTCCCTTCACCCCTCTCCCCTTGACCATGAACATCGGAGGTTTTTTAACTTCTGAATAAAAGTAGAACAGACTTTTCACGCACGAACTTCCTTTCCCATAGGACAATTACCTGGATAATCAACTGTGCTATTCCAGCTCAGTGAAATGGCAGTAAGCCATAGTCTGCCTCATTTAAAGCCCACACCTGAATGCAGAAGACTAATGTCTCCTTCCCTTTTGCTGCTTTTCAGCCTGCAGAAGATCATCCACCGGAATGACGGCACAGAGTCAGAATGCACGGAGCGGGACGGGTGGTGCCTTCCCAAGACCAGTGATGAGCTGCGGGACAGCATGTCCCTGATGATAAAGCAGATCATCAGATCCACAAGGCCTGGTAAGGATGCTTTGAACATCACCCTGTTGTTCTGCCTTCCTGCTGGTGTGGAGATGATGTAGGCTGAGGGGAGGATGGTGAAGTCAGCACTGGGGGCAGAGGCTTTCCTGTATCTGCCTCCTCCTTTGTGCTACCCCTCGTGTTCTTTGTGTTGTAGCTGAGGCTGTTCTGCAGTGTGAATGTGGGTTGGCATTAGGAATGACTGGAAGTAAAGGTTTTCTATTTCATCTTCCCAGTGTCACAGCCTTCAGGTTTTAAATGTCTTTGCACAGTGATAATCAAAATCTTAATTCTTACTGATGTATCTGTTGGTGGCATTTTACTTTTTACTGTCATTACTGATAGAACAAGAAGGGAGGAAGTTGTTTGTGTGTGATGCTGGGCCAAAGCAATAATATCCCAGTGAATTAGGTCAGAATGAGCTGGGAGAGGAGGCACAGTACTACAGCTCTGCTGCTGTTCTGCTTGCTTTCCTGGAGTATGAAAAGGATTGCTTTGGGCTCGATCAGATTCTGTTAAGATGTGCAAAGTTAGCTGTGCCCCCACGGCTTCTGCCTTCCTCTCACACGTTGTGTGAACTCTACTGCAAATGCCCCAAGGTTTCACTGAGAGAGGCATCACAGTGTCTTTCTTTCTTCCCAATTAAGCTCTTTTCTCAAATACAACAAGCAGTGAAGACTGCAAAGAGCAGCTGGCATACGAGACTGGAGAGGATGAGGAGGATGAAGAAGAGGAGGAAGAAGACTTCAAGCCTTCTGATGGGAGTGAAAATGAAATGGAGACAGAAATACTGGACTATGTGTGAACTGGGTCAGCAGTCTGGCTGCTGTGGACAGAACTGTCTCTTGCTCCTTGAGAGCTGAGGGTTCAGATCCATGCCCAGGATCTGGGAAAGCAGAGCTTGTACTACAATGATGCCACTCTCCCTGCACTAACTGCTGGTGGCCATCATTATGGATGTTTGGGAGTCTTTGCCTACATTTTCATAATTGCTGGCTAAGAAAGCCTCCAGCAAGCTCAACAAACTCCCCAGAGCGAGCCCAGAATCCAAACCAGCTGGTAATACACCAGGATAGAGGAGAAGCTGCATTCCCAGATCTCTCCATGTGTGGGAATTGCACTCTGTCCAGGTTGGTGGCTGTGTGGAAAATGGAAAAGGTGCCTGAGGAGATGCTGGAAGAAGCACTCCAGCATTACTGGAGTCCCTAAGGCAGGTTCTGCCCTTCTGCTTGTCCAAAGGGAATCAAAATACTGTGCCTGCCTTCAGCACTGAGCATTGCTGGCCATTTTGGAAATAAAGCCAGCAGGAAAACACATTGTCTGAGTGTGAATAATGAATAATTCCCTTCCTGGGATGTAGTGGATGTTATCCTCACTAGCTAATGCACTTCTCAGTCCTGTTTTGACTTCCCCAGTAGTTAACAAGAACTGAAGGCAGCTGGCAAAGGGGCAGAGCTGGCCATTAGTCTGGCACCACCAGCTGGTATGTTCCCACCTGGGCACAGAAATTAAAGATCTGTGGCATTTTGTGGATCTTGTGCATTCCCCAGTGTGTTACAAGCACACCTGAAGCCAAGCTTTCTTTCATAACAGGAGGAGTAAGGCCTCTTCCTCCTGCATTGAGGAGTGATGCCTCAAACCCAGGCAGATCACTGTCTCCAACCCTAAGGACTGGTGCATTTGCTCTTAAAGCCACTGCTTGTAACAAAAAGAGTAAAACCAGCAAATTGCCACTGGAAAATGCAACAGCCCCAGGTTCAAATGAATATGGTTCATTTGAAATTCAGGCCCTGGTCGCTCAAACAAAAAGCCTGGTTTTTAGTTCAAACACAAAACAAAGCTCAACTCAGCAGAGTGAACATAAGGTATTCACTGCCTCCCCCCCAGTCAGGTCCACCCATTTCTCCAGGAAGGTGCTGGCATTTTGGGGAAGGAGGCCAGGACAACCCCTGCCTGGGGGCAGAGACATTTGAGCATCAGTATTTTATTGCAAAGACTAATTACATTGCTGTGTACAAGTCACACTGGGCAGTGTGTCCTTCATTGAAGTGGTACAAAATACATATGGTACAGCCAGTCCCTCCAGTGACACTGGGCTGCTGGGGACACTGGTGGGAAGGGAGGGGACAGTCCCAGGGTAGGCAGGAGCTGGCAGAGGGAATTTGGTGCCCGAGGGAAGGGGCTGGGCTTTGGGCAGGGTGGGAGGCAGGAGGCTGCCCCTGCGTCAGGGAGCCAGGAGCTCCCATCATGTGCAGCAATGGGCAGTGGGGACACAGGGCTGGGGAAGCCACACTCACACCCAAGCAGCCTCTTCCCCACCTGGTGCCAGGGACCTGCAGCCCAGCTCCTGTCACCAGCCCTGGCCCCTGGAGCGTGTGGTCCTTCTCCTGGAGCTGAGGAAGGCACCGCACCCACCTGGCAGCTCCGACGGACGGGAAAGAGAAAAGATCTGCTGGAATGAAGCGCTTAAAAAACAGAGAGCCAGGAGCAACAAAAGGTCCCCCTTTGGTTAGTGTTTCCTACAACGATTAAAACAAGCAACTGCCCCTGCTCGAGCAACTAGGGGTAGAAATTTGGGAGGGGGGGGACTGGCGGGGTCTGCACCCCATGAGCACAGCAGAGCAAAGCTGCTGCTGCTGCTGCCAATGTCCCTCCCAGCAGCCTTAAATACCAGGGTGGGGACAGGAGAGGGACTGGGCTGCAGGGCAGGGGGAGGCTGGATTAGTAAAATGTACAAGTTTGCCTCTTCTATTTACAACCAATAAATACTGAAAAAAAAAAAATCAGTAAACCTTTTTGTTTTATACAAAAAAAAGTCTCATTGCTGCTTCTCCCATGGTCAGTGTTTGAAAAAGTCTGGTTAAAGCCCAAGGTGAGTGGCACTTTCTGAGGGTCAGGCAGTGGCAGCCGGGGCACCCGGAGCATGCTGAGCTCTCCAGCTCCTCGCTTGTCCACGCAGACCCAAAATCTCTTATTTACACAAGTTCAGAACTTTGCTCTCCTCCCCCTCGTTAGGCTGGCAGCGCTGGGGGCACGGCCCGAAGCTTCCCCCGACGGCAGAAGAGACACTGGCATTTGATCTTTGGTGCAAGTTTGAACACGGGCCATTCCATGTCCAGCTGGAGGAAGCGCTGGATCGGGAGAGGAGCGAGACCATGCAGGCTTCCAGCTGTGGAGAGCACAGGGCGTCCACTCCCTCACGGCACAGGCACAGCCCTCCTCCACAGGGCTCTGAGCACAGGGCTGCATCTTCCCAGCCTGGGGCATCCGTGGCTTCTCCCAAGGGAAGGACGGGCGGAGATGTGCGGTGGTGGCGATGCCGGCTATCCCAGGGAGGAAAGATGTGGAGGTAACCACCAGGAAAGCTGGGGAGGAGAGCACTGCGCCGGGTGGGAGGCTGTGCAGCCCCAGGGTGGTGGCTCGTGCTCTGCTCCTGTCCAACAGCCCCTCTGCGAGTCGCCGCTCCCCGGCTCGCTCGGACACAAGGCACCTACGGCAGAGGCGGGCTCCAGCTCTGGGCTGGCCGGGGCTGGACGAGTGGCGCACCGTGGAAGTTTTAAAAAATAAAACAACAAAAAAAATAGAGATATCCCCCCGCTGCTGCCTTCCCGGGTAGGAAAAAAAAGACCTGATTGGAATGGGGGCTTGTGCAGAGAGAGGCAGAGGCCGACACCAGTTGTCCAACAGCCCGGCTCGGTGTGGGAGGAGGGGGATGCACGGCCGTGCCCCCAGGCGGGGGTCGCTCCTCTCGCCGTGCAGGGCAGCACAAGGACCGGCCGCGGCCAAGCCCGGAGCAGCTTGCCCCCAAGGCCCCGTCGGTGATGGGTGGCAGTGGGGCTGAGGCTAGAAGATGCCCTTGGCGATCTTCAGGCCTTTCTGCTTCATCCTGGGCAGGGTGGAGCTGGAGCCGTGCTTGATCTTCACCCCCTTGGAGAAGCCCCGCTTCTTGAGCACGAAGTCGTAGTTGGCAGCGGAGTTCATGGCGTAGAACACGTTGGCGTTGTCGGGGATCTTCAGCTCTGAAAGTGAGCAAGGATGGGGGTCAGTCGGGCACCCTGTGCCCGAAAGAGACCTGAGAGTTATCCCCCTCACTGTCCCTCTCACTGTCACCTCCCAGCCCAGCTCTGACCTGGTGCTGCCCAAGCTGCAGGGCTGCCTGGCCCCAGGGAAGCCGCCCCCACCCCAGCACACACCTCTCTCCTCCGAGATGATCTGAACGAGCTCGTAGTCCTCAGGCCGGTCCCCGTCCAAGTTGTGCTTGGCCATGGCCTTGCGAATAACCACCGGGGTCTTGTCCTGGCTCGTCACCTGTGAGCCCAGAGCTTTATTAGCCCAGAACACTGCAAAAGCCTCCCACTAGTGCCTCCTCCCAAAATGAGCCATGCCTGCATCCGAGCAGGACAAGCCACCCCTCCCTGTCACCATGGGGCCCTGTACTAACCAGGATGCTCTTGTACATGTTGCCATTGTCCACAGCCAGGCTGACACGGATGATACAACAGTCGTCGACCTGCTGGTTGTAGAGGGGCAGCGAGAGTGAGGAGTAGCTGGAGATGCCGGAGACCGAGCGCTTGTGTGTGCGGGAGGCCGTCACCGGCGTGGAGGAGACGGAGGAGGAGGAGGCACTGCTGGAGCCTGAGCCGATGCCTGACGTGTCCAGGGAGGAGAGGGAGGTGGATTCCCAGAACTGGAGGGCAGGGAGGAGAGGGGATGCGGAGGACACAGTGGGTTTAGCTTCTCCATCGGCCACAGACGGGGCGTACCAGCGCTGGGGGAGGGAGGCCAGAGGGATCTCACTGACCTGTGACAATGGGGGACCGACACAACTACAGCCACCTGAGGCACGAGAGCCTTGCCACGCTGCCGGAGCAGCAAAGGGCAGGGGCCTCCCTAACCCCGGCGAGCCAGAAACAGCCCCCAGGACCCCCACCTGCCCCCCCAGCCCCAGCGCTGGGGCAGAGGTGGGGCGGCCCCAACACGATGGCTGCACCTGCCTCAGGAGGCCTGGACCCCAAAAGGTGCCATGTACCTTCTTCTCCTGGCAGTCGGGGGACTCGGGGATGAAGCTGATGTTGATCTCCTCCACGTCGGAGCTGCTGGAGCCGGCAGAGGTGACACTCACCGAGTCGGTGGCGTCCCCACTGCACAGGTACTGCCCACACTTGAGCTGGTCGAAGGATTTTGAGTGGGAGCTGCCGCTGGCGCAGGGCTCGGTGCTCGGTGGCTGCCGGCTGCCAGGAGAGACGTGGGGCAGGTCAGAAGGGAGCAGGGTGAGGGCGCATTTGGCTGGCAGGACCACCCCCAACTCATCCAGAGATGCCCCGTGCTGGCCCCCACTTCCCCCCTGGGACAGGCAGACTCACTCGCTCCATCGCTTGATGATGCCCGTGTTCTTCTTTGCCTTCAGCGTGTTGCTGGCTGACTCTGACAGCGGCTCGATCTCACACGACAGCCCGTAGCTGGGAGGGGAGAGAGGAGGGTTTGAGCTCTCTGTGCTGCCACAAGCACCAAGGAGGCAGAGCAGGGAGTGGAGCGCAGAACAGAGTGGTGGGACCTCCCGATGCACCAGAACGGTCCCAGACCCCACTCACTCACCTCTCGGCCTCGCTGAGCCGCTCCAGGCTGTGGAACCAGTCCACGAACTGGTCCTCCTGCGTGAAGCTGTAGTTGTTGCAGGCTGACTGAAGCAGCTTGATCTGGGCGATGACTTCGAACTCCTGTGGCAAAGGGAAGCCATGAGACCACATCTTTTTTCCAGCCCCAGCCTCCTCCACAGACAGCCCAGCCCCACGCATGCGGGCAGGTATGAAAGACCAGAATCCCCTCCCCAAAAATGAAGAACATGACAGTAAAAAAAGGACAGAGATCAACCCCAAAGTGACTGGCACAGCCTGGGCTTGCACCAGGTCAGCCTCCTCCTTCCCCCCACTGCTGTGTAGCTGCCAGGGCAAAGCTCTCACCTTCCTTCTCTTCTCAAAGTTGATCAGCCCACCCTGGAAAAGAAGGAGATGAAGGTCAGCACGAAGCAGGCAAAAAAACATTGCTCCCATCCCTCCCTGTCCCCGGCTCACTGTCACTGCAGTGTGGGTGTCCCTGCCAAGAAAGTGGCCCAATTCCCCAGGCTGACAGAGGTGGATGTGCAGTGTCAGATACAGGATGCAGTGTTGGGTACAGGATGCAGTGACAGAAACAGGACACACGGGGGACCAGCTCTCCTTTTATCAGCCCAGGCGCTGGGAGGAAGGCAAGGAGGGGGAGGATAGGGAGGAGGTACATACATCCAGGAAATCCTTCATGGCGGTGTCGAGCATCACCAGGTCCGTGAGGAAGGTGCCAAGGTAGGGAATGGTGCCCTGCATCACGCCCTGTGGGGATGGAAGGGACAGCAGGGTCAGCAGAGCTGGGACCAGCCTGGGCAGACGCCGGGGAGGGGGCACAGGGGGTGGCCCTGCCACACTCACCATCTCTCGCTGTTGCTGCTGCCGCTTCTGAGCCCTCTTTGGGTTGATCTCCAAGGTGGCAAATTTGGATGTGCCCTCCTGGATGGCGGGGAGAGGTGGGGATCAGTGGGGATCAGCACAGGTGGGAAATTGCACTAATATCTCAGCTAAAATTCACACCCGCTTTTATTGGTACAACTTTCCTTGCAGAGGGAAAGAGGGATGAGGGGACGAGGAGGAAATCAAAGCTGTTTTATGGCTCACAGGGAGGAGAGGCTTAGTGAAGAGGAACTGCTGCTCTCATTTCCAGCTCTGTGTAAATGCCTCCTCAATGGGATGTTTTGTTCCCTTTTGCATTTTGTGTCCTCTCATCCCTCAAATCAGAGAAATCAGAGCTAGACTAGGATCTGTGGAGAGGCTCCACACACAAGAAGGACATTTTTGCTGCAGCCTTTCACCAATCCCACCACCCCACCTGGAATCAAGAGGACTTTGCACCGGGCTGTTAAAATGCAGCTGCCTCTGGGGAGAAGCTGTCACCTGGTGCTCTGGATCCCATCCCACTGCTTATCTCTGTTTGCTGAATTGCTCTGCCAGCTTCAGGCAATGAGCTTTGGGCAGAGAAGCAGAAAGCCTGGCCTGGTCCAAAACCCCTGCCTGCTCCCCAGACTTGGCACACCCATGTCTGTGACTCCAGCAGCTCTGCCAGGGCTTTATCCTTGTGGCTGGAACACCGTGGAAACTTCTATCAGCATCGGCCTAAGCTCCCTGCCAGAGACAGGGTGACTGTGGGTGCTGCTTTCCCTTACCTTAATGAGGAGCTCCCGGCTCAGAGAGTGGTTGTTCTCGTCGGAGAAGATCTCTGAGAGCTCATGGAATGTGCGGAAGCTCTCCCTGCTCAGGGGGAAACAAGGGGAAAAGTCAGCAACGCTGCCACAGTGGGATTTCCTCCTCAGGCTCCCTTCTGCTCGCCCAAATGACCCCAGTTATGCTCACAGCTCCAGCTGGGCCTTGCTGTTCGGGAGCTATTCCAGGGTGTTTCACACAGAGGAAGGGAAAGTGATGACGCTTTTATTTTCTCGCCCTCCTTAGGTCCCTGACACCTCACACTGGTCCTTGGGTTTTGGGCACACTGCAATGCTGGAGCTGAGATGATCCCATTTAAACACCCAAGGGCCAGAGCTTGACCTTCCCCTTGGAGCCTCCCAGCACCCCCAGGAGCCGCTTACCGCAGGACCTCATCCCAGGTCTTCTTCAGCCGGTGGACGGCGTTGCACTGCAGGGCTGAGAGGATGGCTCGGAGGGAGGAGAAGTTCTTCAGGATGCGGCACTCCTGGGAACAAGGAGATGACAGGACTCAGCGTTAAAAAGAGCTCAAGGATCTGCCGTGATTCCAGCACAGCAAAACCTCAGCCCTCGGGCAGAGGTGGGAGGTGAGCTGTCCTACCCGAGCCACCTCGATCCACCGCTCCACCACTTTTGCCCTCTGCTGTGGCTTCAGGGATCGGTCCCCGAGGCACGTGGCGATGACACAGTTGGCAACACTGTTGAACTGGGAGACTGTGGCGCGGATGGTGGGAGCCAGGTGCTCTTTGCCCTTCTTGTCTCGCTGGGACCAGATGCAGCCCAGGCAGTGGTAAGGCACCACTTTCTTAAACAGCTCCTGGAAGAACAAAGGGATGGAGATGGGTCTCTTTGGGTTCACTGGGAAGAGAACAGGGCAGGAGGAAAAATGGATGGAAAGAGCCAGGTCTGTGTCCAGAGCACCATTGACCTGGTTGTTGTGTGAATACTCACAGCGTCCATCAGTGTGAACTGTTCTGCCACCATCTCTGGGGAGAAGGAGAGGAAATCTGGCTTCCCATCCCCGACCCCGTTCTCCTCCGCCAGCTGGAAGGTGCAGCTGCCATGGTCCACAGCTGTAGGAGAGAGGGTGAAGCTGAGCACTGCAGAGCTGCCACAAGCTGGGGTCCACGCCAACCCACACCAGTGCCCTGTGGGCACCCACTTCCCACCTCCCAGGCTCTTAATTCCCATCTGGCTTCACACCTCGAGAAACGAGGCTCAGATAAAAGGATAGTCATTTTAAACCTGGGTGCAAGTGTCTACAGAGGATTAAAGGCAGATTAGCTAATCCACTTAGAAATCCCACTTCTGGTGTAGCTGGATTAGCTTCCCAATGTACCTCTATGTAAACACAGGCAGGGTTTATGAGTGTCCAGCCATGTGGTAAGACCGGAGATTCTGGAGACCCTTAGTGCCAACAAATAGCACTTCTCCCTCCACCTGCAGCCTCAAATGACCCCCTCCACGCAGGGGAAAGGAACCCACCTTCTGCCTCGGACTCGCTCTTCTCTTGCTGCTGGAACTGGGCCAGCAGGATGCGGGCCCGGCGCTCCAGGTCGGAGCCGGGGATGTTGTGGCGCACGTAGGAGATGAGCTGCTTGAGGCAGGTGAAGTCTGGGGGCTTGCGGAAATCCTCTGAGTACTGGTCCAGCCAGGCCCCCAGGATGGAGGAGATGGTGCTGCAGGGAGGGGGAAAACACGGGCAAACTTGAGTGAGAACCGGGTGCCAGGAGAAACCTGTGTGCACCCCCATGAACCCCAGGAACACCTCTGCGAAAACACATCCCTTTGTAGGAGAACCAAAAACTATCACCAGAGCCACCCACGGTGCAGTCACTTACTTCTTCAGCTCCATCCTCTCATCCACAGCGTGCCTGGCATGGTCCCCATTCACCTGCACGTGGAGTTTGCCATATCTGGTGGGGCACAGAGAGGAGACAGTGAGCACTCTGGACTCAGCTGCCTCTCAGTGCTGCCTCTTCTCCCTCCACATCACCCCCACCTCTGACAGGGGTGAGGATGAACCTCCTACACAGTGTCCTGTTCCCCCCTCCTCTAAAACAAGCCCCCATATTACAGGAAGAGGGAAGCAGCCAGCACTGGCCACCTCACAGAGGGATATCAGCTGGAAGAGCTCCAGCTCTCTGGGAAGTGGTGTCCTCCCTGCCCTGCCCCAAAACCTCCAAGCAGATGGAGTTGTGAGAAGCCATCAGCCCTCCAAGGCATTGCAGCAAAAGGTGTTGGGGCTCTCTTGGCCGAGGGAGTTCAGACACCAACCACCCACAGCTGTATTTCGGGGCTCAAGGCAGCCTCACCTGTTAAGCAGCAGGTCCAGCACTTGCTTGGTGGTGGCAAAGGCCCGGTAAGTGCACAGGAAGATGGTGACATAGGTGGAATCATTGCCCTTGAAGGCTGAGACCAGGTACTCCACCAGCTTCTCCAAGGTCCCAGCTTTTATCGTCCGCACCTTACACGTCTCGTAGAGGTTTAGGGCTGACTCATTCTCAAACTGCCAGGACAGGAGCAGAAGTCAGTGGGCTGGGTGAAGACAGACACCACCAAGTGCAAAGTGTTCCCACCAGCTTCACAAGGGTCAGGTCTAGGCTGGGACCACAGACCCCTACAGTGCCTGGGGCTCTCCTAACTGGGAAAGGGAAGCTGGGTCTCCTTGGACACCAAACACCATCAACCCAGCTGAGATGAGCATTTGGGAAATCCCAGGAAAGGCTTCAAGGTTGCCAAAATCTAGATGCAAATCAGAGTTACCCTATTTTGCAAAATGGGGCTACAGGTTGTTTCCCCTGTGCCCCTTCCCACGGGGCAGAGGCCAGCAGGTGCTCCCATTCCCTGCACCCAAATAAATACATGCTTCCTGTGGCCTGGAAACCTCTAAAACCCCCAACTTACCCCCAGCCATCGCTGCCCTTTGTTGGCCGTGTGATGGAGCTGCACTTTCCGGAGCGATATGCTGTAGATCACACCATCCTCCAGCTCTTCTCCAATCTCCTGTGTGGAGCTCTGCGTGGAAAGACAAGATACACCATGAGATAAGGAGAGCAAAGCGCAGCAGAGATGCTCCTGTGGCTCATACAAGGCATCCCAGCAAGCCAAAGGCAACAGCCAGCAGGCAGCAAGAGCCTCCCTGACCTGCTCAGAAACACAAACCCGGTGACACCAGTCTGGCCAGCTCAGCTCTGGGCCCTCCTGAACCTGCCCACAGCAGAGGCAGGACTTTGGAAAGATGCTCTTGGTCTGCTCCTGACTCCATTTCTCAGTCCTTCAGCAAAGCCAGGCTGTGCCAGCGCTTGGTGCTGGGCAGAGCAGGGACCCTCGCTGGGCAGCGAGGGGGGCAGTGAGAGCACACCCCATACCCAGCCCTGGCTGCCTCCCCCTTCCCCAGCCTCTGCCCTTCCCGTAAGGTGACACTGCCACCTGCTCTGACTGTAATCTCAGTAATCTGTCCCTGCAGAACTGGGCACCTCCGTGCACTTCCCTAATAAATAATAACTGCCAAACCAAGCTCCCACCAGCTTTGGCAGCGCTGGGAGGCAGAAATCCAAGAGGAAGCTCAAAGCTGGGGGGGGAAATCCCAGGAATCGGCATCAGGCACAGGGCGCCTCTGGGCCACAGCCCAACCCAGCTATGAGGTTCACATTTCTGCTCTGGGGGGTAGAGACCACCTAGAATTTGGTGAGGAAAGGGGTGATGCTTCTTGGGTTAGGTCCCCGGGCACACACATCCCCCAGCACCACATGCCAGCACAGGGCTCAGCAGCAGCTCCAGCCCCACAAGGACGATTTGGTTCCCTCCTCCTCCTCCTCCCTCACCACGCTCTGCTGAGTCAGTGCCTCTCTTAAGATGGTTTATCCAGATCCTTTTAAACACCGCGGGGATCTCCCCCGCCCTCCAGCCCCCACACCAAATGGCGGGACAGGGTCTGACACACGGCAAAACCCACTGCTCAGCAGATGGAGAACATGCCCGAAGGCAATAAGCCGGTTAGCAGGGGGAGGTGTCCCACGTGCTGTGGGGCACAGGGACAAGTCTCCCCCGCATACCACACTGCCAGCCAAGAGCCAGAGCCAGCCCGTGGCTTTCCCTGCAACCGGCCCCTCCAGGGCATAAAAAGCCCTGAGCAGTGGCAACGACACAGGGCTTGCCAGGGAAGAAGCTGCTGTGGAGGGACCCGAGATGGAGCCCCAGGAGCGATGCTGCTCCCTGCAAAAAATCCTCCTCCAAACTGCTCCCTGTGAACATGGGAACAGCCCTGCCCAGGGCCCTCATTTCAGGCATCTCCCATCTCAAGAGACACGAGCAGAGCAGGACCCTGAGCTGAGGATCACATGTGCACCCACAGGCTCTTTACCCACCATCCTTTATCGTCACCATCACAGCAGCGGCCACTGCACTGTTATCACACCCTGCTCCAGCCAGGGGCTGGTCATTAGCAAGGAATCAAGGCAGCTCCAAGAGCAAGGGGAAACTGGAAAAAGCCTCTCATTCATGGTTGTAATGAATGAGGACAGAGAATCCCCCTGGGCAGGGTTACTGACTTTTTCACTTTCTGCTGAACCTGCTCTTCTCACTTCATGCCAGATTATGGAGAGCTTTGCTTTGCTGAAGCTCGAGGGATTGTGAGGCTCCTAACTCCAGCTCTGCTGTGAACATCAGAAGTCTTTCCCAGGATTCACTGGCTTCCAGACCAACCCTGACAGCACCTGCACAGGGCAGCAGACTAACAGACATCCTTCCTGACACCTGCGTCTGTCCCTCTCTTGTTCTGTGCTCTGGGATAAATTATGGCATAAATTTATGTTCCAGTACATTGCCCTGAGGGACTGGCACAACCTTGGGAGAGAGCAGCTTTGTATCCACTCTGGATCAACCCCCTACAATGATGGCACCTAATCAAGTTGGCCAAGTTGCCTTTCTTCCACTATAGATGCTAATTCCAACAAAAAGAAAAAGTCATGGATAGACTTTCCAATTTGTCCACAGAGGCCATCAGACCCTGGTGCCCAGAGTGATGTGAACCTCCAAAAATGACAGTGATGCCTCCTGAGCACATGAACCCATTACCCAAGAGGCAGTGATAGAGAAGGGGGATCACCACCAACAGGGCTTTCTTTACACCAGCTCTTCTGGGCTCTCTCAGTTTTCATCACCCGACCTGCATGTCAGCCCCACCCTGTGTATCTCCCAGTTATGCTGAGACTTTGGGCTGGAGGAAAGCTCTGGGTCCAGCAGAACCAGAGCCCTGTACGGTCTAACTCAGAAAAAGAGACTCGGCTGGGCAGTTGTAAATCTCAGACACAAATATCTAAAAAAAATCAGATGCCTGTTGACATGCAACTAAATTAATAAATTAAATCACATGGGAGGGCAGAACATCCCAGGATCAACCCATGAATCACTGGCAGCTGCTGTGCAACTACAGTGGAAAGTATTGCAGGGGTTTTCGCTCCGTACTTCGTGTCCCGTGCAGGGGATACACCCCATTCTGATGTGCGTAGAAGCACATTTCATTTCCTTCCCATATTCAAGATTGTCAAGATTCATTCATTTTTTGTCCTGCTGACTCGTGCGATATCCCCCCGAAGTTCCCCCTTTGCAAACCACACACGAAGGCCGCGGCTTCCCAGCGGTGTCTGCACCGGGCCCACGCCAAGAGCCAGCCGAGCTGCTACACTGGCACATTCTAAAATTTGGCTATTTATATTCTGTGTGAGCTTCCTCTTTCCTACGGCCGCTGCTTCTCCGAGATGCTGATTGTGCATTCCGCGCGTGTGGGTTAAGAACCAACGAAGCAAAAAGAAGCAGCGGCAGGACGGAGCCAGTGAAGCCCCACTCCCAACACCTGCATCAAAGGCACGTTTCTCCCTCTGCAGATGAGGAAGTGGGGTGGGAGAGGCTCAAAACTTTGACCTGTGGCTTATGTACGCACTGGCCACCAATGCTGCAGCTCTGACACGCACAGTGGGATTTCCAGCAAGTCAACCAAAGCTGGATGCCTTCAAAATGGTCTCTAAAGAGACAGAGAAGTGCTGGTAAATATTACTGCAACAGTCAACTCCTCCCCACTGCCTGCCTTACATATCTGCTGGAATTTTCTGCCCCTCATAGCAGAAGGAAACATGAGTCAGGCTCAGTCAGCACAACCACAGCCTGGTGCCCACATGCAAACCCTCCTTCGTCGGTGCTCAGCCTGGAGACCTGAGCATGAGACACAGGTCAACAGTCCCTTCTGTTGGTACAAGAGATGAATCCAACAGCTCCATGCAGTGCTCTAAATGGCTGCAACAAGATTCAGCAAAGTTTTTCTGTGAAAACACTAACTTTGAGCACGTTGACGTTTATGGTATCTGCACCTTCCACCAAACTCAGACGGACGGGACCCGGCCTGCCAGAAAGTGAGATCCAACACATCCCAAGATGGGCATCAAAAAAGGGAAGACACAGAAAATGAACATTTGACAGTGATTTCTCCAGCTCAGTGCGCAGCCCTGCTCCTCTGCACACAGCAGGAAAAAGGCCTCTGGATGGAGGGGCACAAGGAAAAACCACATGTTTTAACTCAGGGGTATCAGACGCCCAATTGTGCAGAGCAGAGGCTTCTGCAGCAGCAGCCGTGAGTGAACTCTGCAGGAGTTCATCCCCTGAAATATGAGACCGGAGGTCTGCACCAGATGGCTGCCTGGGTTTGGGGACTGCCTCCTCCAACTGCAGATAGCCCCGGGCTGCCGGAGCTCCCACTGATGGTTCAAAGCCTTTGTGACTACACCAGGGAGGAATTCCCGCTCCGCTCAGTGCAATAAACTCCTCTACTGTCTGCTGAATGTTCTTGTACTCGGCGTGGTGTCAAACCCCACGTCTTCACACGGAGGTTTAATAAGGAGCTCTAGAGACGTAGCCAAGGTTTGTGAGCCTGGAGGAAGGGTGTGAGGGACCCTTGCAGAGCCAGGCAGAGCAGCAGGGACTCTGCCTTCGGCTCTTCTCGCCGGCTGAAGGGAGGGGAAAATGCAAAAGCCAAACAGCGAAGCAAAATATTGGCTAGGGTTTGCATTTTGGAAAGTGTTTGAGATCAGCCACGAAGGTGGTTTTAGTAAGGCGGGAGGATAGTACAGGATTAAGTGTGACAGCATCCCTCCACGTTACACAGACAATTACCCAACAATTACCAGGTCTTAAGAGCTCTGGTCCCACGTGTCCTGGGTTAGTGCATTGGCCTCCGAAGGCGTAAAATAATAAACGGTTTGTGGAAAAAGGTATTAATTTCAGCACACGTGGAAGAGGCACAACTGCTCAAAGTGCTTTTACTGATGCTCCCTGGACAACAGCTGGTTTAACAATCAAGATATTCGTGTTACTCTGTTCCCTTTCAGTTGAGCTACACAAAATGCCTGTTCTGCACACATGTACAACACAGAATCACGATTTCAAAATGCTGCTGCTACCAGGCACAAGAGAGAAAGCAGACACTAACCCTGCCCGTGGAAAGCTGGGAATGTGTGCCTGTTGGGAATTAACAGTCCCACTGGCCAACGAGTCAAGAAAAGGCAGAGCTGAGCCCCTGAGACATCACCAGGAGCTTCTCATTGAAGCTCCGCATTTGCACAAGGTTTGAAAGAACCTGATGAAAGGTGATAAAGGCAGAAACAGAAAGTGGGGGTTTTGTCTTTAGAATCCCCAGTGTTTTCTCAGAATAATCCCTTCCCACTCGCAACGGGAAATGGGCCTTTCCGGAAACAAAAGAAACAGGCTCCACCACAGGCCATATCCTCCACGGCTGCCACGAGCCCCAGGTTAACTTTCATTTCGCCCTCAGGAGTAACCCCTGAACCCATGCAATGAACAGCAGAGAGTCTGAGGCCTCTTATGTAAACTGAAGTGCACAACGTTATGTAAAAGGAAATAGGAAAAAAGTCACCCCCGGCGAGCGAAAGGAAAACAAGTGCAGTTCTGTGAAGCGAGATAAAGACCGCAAAAAAGCAGAAGCACCCCCTGTCCTGCACATCCAA